TAAATGTGCCAATTTATATTTCCCACAGCAGTGCACCCATTTCTCTACGTTTTTGTCTACATTTGGTATTACCATTCTTTATAATCTTATCTAATGTGATGGTCCCTCCCCCAAAATATATTCCATTTTTTTTGCTTGCGTTTGATTCCTAGTGATGTTGACAATATTTCCATACTTTATTAGTATTTTTATACTCAACTATTCTTGAGTGTCATAACTTTTAAAGTGTTATGTTTTGTTTTGTTTTTTAAAGATTTTATTTATTTGACAGAGAGAGGGACAGCGAGAGAGGGAACACAAGCAGGGGGAGTGGGAGAGGGAGAAGCAGGCCTCCCGCTCAGCGGAGAGCCGGATGTGGGGCTCGATCCCAAGATCCCAGGATCATGATCTGAGCCGAAGGCAGACACTTAAGGACTGAGCCACCCAGGCGCCCCGAGTGTCACAACTTTTAAAAGATTTTTCTTTTAGTATGTTTTCTAATACTAAAATACTATTTAAAATTTACATTTTTTTACATTTTTTACATTTACATAATTTTCCTAGTATTTTCAAATTTCTGTTCTCCTCTTTTTCTTTCTTCCTTTCCTCCCTTCTTTCTTCATTTTTTTTCTTTCTTGCCTTCTTTCATTTCTTTCAGAGTTTAATCCTTTTAGGATTCATTTTGATGTCTGACTTTTTTTAATCCTATATTGCTCGCCATTTGCCCTAATATCAGTTACTGAATAATCATCTATTTCATCACTGATTGAAAACCATTTTTATCATATGCAAATTGACCTATTAATTCTCTTGCCCACAACATATTGTTTAAAATTCTGTATAGCTCAAATACTCCCTATTTTTATTTTTCAAAATTTTCTGAGATACTGATACATATTTATTCTTACAGACAAAAATCTGAATTATTTTGCAAAACTTTCAACAAACCTGCATTGGGATTTTGATTGGGATTAACTTGGAAAAAATGAATGTATATTTCAATAGTGATTCTTTCCATTTATTCAAGGCCATGAAAAATGTCATGTCTTAAAGTTTTGTAAACTTTAAGGGCATTGCTAATAGCTATAGCTGATTAACAAGTTCTGAAATATACATACCCTTTTAGTTTATAGCAAGTTGGAAACTGATATAGCAAGTCACAAGTTGATTAATATGTGAATACCTGGGGCACCTGGGTGGCTCAGTCGGTTAAGCGACTGCCTTCGGCTCAGTTCATGATCCTGGGGTCCTGGGATCGAGTCCCGCATCGGGCTCCCTGCTCTGCGGGGAGCCTGCTTCTCCCTCTCCCACTCCCCCTGCTTGTGTTCCCTCTCTCGCTGTCTCTCTCTGTCAAATAAATAAATAAAACCTTAAAAAAAAAATACGTGAATACCTTTTTGTGAGACAGAGCGAGAGCTTGAGCAGGGGGAGGGGGCAGAGGGAGAATCTCAAGCAGACTTCATGCTGCTCACAAAGCTGGACCTGGGGCTAGATTTCACGATGCTGAGATCATGACCTGAGCCAAAATCAAGAGTCATATGCTTAACTGACTGAGCCACCTAGGTGCCCCATATGTGAATATCTTTATTGGTACTAGGTAGTTGTTATGGATTGAATGTTTGTCACCCTGGAAATTCATATGTGGAAGCCCTAAGTGTAGTGCTGCTTGAAATGGGGTTTGGGGAGGTAATTAGGATTAGATGAGATAATGAAGATGGGCTCCTCATGACGGAATCAGTACTCTTACAAGAAGAGATGCCAGAGATCTCCCCCCCACACACGCTCCCTGTGATGGCACAAAGAGGTCATGTGAGCATATGGTGAACGGGTGACTATCTGCAGTATTTTGCTGAAGCTTTGCACAAGGAAAAAATGAAGGTTTCTGGGTCACCTTATTCCTTCATTCAAAGTGAAAATGTTTTAGTTCTACAGATTAATTGCGTATTCCTAGAAATGTTGACTTCCCTGTTTTATTGCATAGAGGAATGCCAATGAGAAAACTGTCATTGACGTCTAGTGACCACAAGGCTAATACCTGGGCATATCCGGAAGGAGTAGCACAGAGGCACCTTTCTAGTCATTCTTTGTAGTCAGGGAACACTTTAGAGTTTGCTACATGCATTTGCATGCAAAATTTTCTTTCATCCTCAAAATAAATTCAAATGAAGTGTCAGTCTCATTTTATGGGTAGTACAAACTGAGATTTAGAGAAATGAAATGTCTTTTGCAAGGTAGCATAGAACTAGAGCTAGATTTTTTCATTGAATGAATTTTTTTTCTGAGAATTTACTGTGTGCAAACTATGGTCCCCCAACCTAGACCTTTCTCTCCTCCAGTGGTAGGAATTCTTTTCAGCAACTGTATGGCTTCTTGGCTGCCTTATGCCACGCTGTACTTAGCTAGGTAGCTCTAGGTACCCCCAAAGATCCAGCCCACCACTGGACTCTGAACCTGTTGGCAGATATGGGGTGCTACCTCCCCTGAGGGACAAATCTCTGCCAGTCTCTACTGAGCCAGTGATTGAAAAGGGCTTCTCTTGACATCTGAGGTGTTTGCTTGGGAAGCTGTCTTTCAACTCTCCCTCCCCTATTCTTCTCCTCCTAATTATTCTGCTTTGTATACAGTAAATGGGAGGTTTTACATTTGACCTTAGGTCCAAATGAGAGAAGTCAGGCAGGCAACATAAAACCCTCAGGTCTTGGTTTACTCATTGTCCTACTTTATCCTGAACCAAACCTTTCACTAGTGAAGTGAATCAATGTCCCAAATTCAATATAAGGTTTGATGTTTGTTGAAGTAGACAGAAGGGAAATCATTGTTGCAACAGTAGAAATTTATAAAGCAAGAACAATGAAAATAATATTACAGGGAGCCTGGGTGGCTCAGTTGGTTAAGCGACTGCCTTCGGCTCAGGTCATGATCCTGGAGTCCCGGGATCGAGTCCCGCATCGGGCTCCCTGCTCGGCGGGGAGTCTGCTTCTCCCTCTGACCCTCCTCCCTCTCATGCTCTCTGTCTCTCACTCTCTCTCTCTCTCAAATAAATAAATAAAATCTTTAAAAAAAAATTAAAAAAAAAAAGAAAATAATATTACATTTAACTGAAAAGCAGGTGAATAGTTAAGTGAAGTTCTTTTCTGAAAAGACCAGTGACATTGAGTCCCAGCTTTGTATTAACTGTGTGTGGAGAAGATAAATCAGGAGTGAGGTATGCCGTGATTTTCTGTTCTAGGAAAAGTGAATTAAAAAAATTTTTGTTCTGAAAATTTTTAAATTTATATAGCTTGTAAACTACACAGAAGGGTATACAACATTAACAACTTAAAGTTTATCTTTAAATTTAAATCTGCAGGCATCTTTTTCTTATTCTCTCTAGGAGCCTTCTCTAATTTTATCCCCTTTAGACTTATTATGCCCAGAAATAAAAAATGAATCATGTCACATAGGAGAAAAACCGGTAGGTCCTTTCAGCACTTTGGGCATATTCACGTTTTCAAATATTTTCCTTAGAACTCCACTGGAATCTCTTGTTAGAGTGGTACGGAATTACCAAGCCAGAAAGTCCGAGTGTTGCATTAGTAACAGCGTTCGCAGGAGAGATCTTGGGAACAGAGCTATCAACATAGATTCAGCAAATTCTCGGATATATTTCACCCTCGGGCCTCTAAACTCAAGGGAAAAAAACAACAGCATTTTCTTTCATGGAGTATAGAAAAGCAGCATTGCGGTATATAGTTAGAGGAACACGGGACTAGGGGACAGGGAACTACTGCATTTTGGTTTTGGTTCTGCGATTTTAACCAAATTATTTTTTCAGGTTTCGATTTCCTCATCCATAAAAGTGGAAGTAATAATTCCTATGTCATAGAATATCTGGAATGATTAAATAAAAATATTTGATATCAAAATGATATGAAGTAGAGAAACAAAGAGAAAAGAATTCCTGAAGGCTCGATAGCCAGGTGCTCTAGTTGCAGCTGGGGCTCCTAAGAGAGATTAAGATCCATGATTTAGGTCCACAATTCCAACCACGCTAGAATTTTAAATCAAATCATTAATTAAAACGCTTTCAATTAAGTTTAAGTAACCTATATTTTGCTCTACAAGAAATTTTCTTAATTTGAATATATTTTTAAGGTTTGCCATTACTAAATCTCAAAAGCAGAGTAAATCAACAATGGAAAATAAAAATACTTTCTATAAGTATTTCCTTCCAAATGTGTCTTTTGCTGGCAGACTAATAATTCATAATAAAAATAATCTGTATAACATTTTACACTTTTTCAAAATGCTTTTCAAAGGGTACCCTAAATTATATGTAATATGTTAAATAAGTATGGCTTTTAAAATTTGACAACACCAAAGTCTGACAGGTTATATTTTTCTACTTTTAAAGACTATTCTCTGGATGGTGAGTACATAATTTCATACAGTATTTTAAAAGATTCTATAGACAAAACTTCCTCAAACAGAATTTTAATTCAATATGTTTGCCATTGAATTTGAAAGAAAAAATGATTAAGTATGTCAAAATATGCTGAAAAGACACTCAGTTTTTCCTGAAAATAAAATTCAGTAAAATCAAGAAAATAATGATAGATCAAAAGTTTCAGCTGTTAAAATTAGAAAACTATCTAAGAACCACATAAAACATTTTCTTTTCTAATAACTGCATAGATATCTTCATATATACTTTTCAAGAGTAATCTTATTAAAATATAAATATAAGAGTTCACAAATGTTTCAGTAATAGATTTTTCTATTAAAAACACACATATACATACAGATATTTAGGAAGAATCCATATCATCTTCTGGTTATCGATGACAAAAAGCATCTGATAAGTTAATAGTCTTTCATTTGACCTTCTGAAAGTAGTGAGACATATTTTTAATCACTTTGGTATATAATTGGATCAGATTTTATTTTCAGTACTTTTTCATAATTTCTTCTTAGCAAGATAAGCTAGTTACAAGAAAAATAAAGTAATTTAAAGTTAATACTTGATACAAGGCTAGAATATATGTCTTTATAAAAATAAATATATAATATTTTATTTCCGAAACGAGGTAGATAAAACATTCTAGAACATGATCTGCACTTAAAAAAAAAGAAAATAGCAATCACCAATTCAACCTGTATGAATCAAATAGCTGGAAAGTTTTTTATTTTTGACATCTATACCATATATTTCAGTACAAGGCCTCTGAAATACATTTTCTACTCCCCAAAACCTTACTAAATTGAAATTCATATTTTTCATTTACTTACTCATTACTTAATCTACCTAGGGAACTTTGCTATTCAGGTCAAAGACATATGCAATTAAACCAAAGTTGTTTTTTTTTTTTTTTTTATGTTTAAGTGGTATTTTCCCTTTATATACCTCATATGGTAAAATACATCAGGAAAAGCTATTACTCTCCAGATGTTGTACCACAAATAATTATTTAGATGATGAGTTAATAAAAATTTCAAGGTCTGCTAAAGAATTATGAAGCTCATCATTCATATCTTGACTTCTAAGAAAATTTTTAAGAGTATCTAAAGCAGTTATTGCCTCATTTTTTGATGGCAAAGGGAGTTCAGTTCCTAGAGATCCATCATCATCCTCTTCGTCAGAAGTATAAAATTCAGTTTCATCTGATTTACTTTCTTTGGTCCATACCGAATCACCTTCTGGTGCAGCTTCACATGTCTCCAAATCATCATCGAGGGCAGCATACTCTTCTATAGATAAACCTTCAGGAAATTCCACGCCTGCTGCCTGAGCATGGGCAACCAAATCAAGACCAGTGTCTGTCTCTGCATTTGTCTTGTCACTTTCTCCTTTTTGAGATTTGAATCCTGCCTCTTCATAACTCTTAACAATAGTCTCTGGGGTTACAGCCCTCCAACAAAGGTGCAAAGTATCAACTGCATCGAGTAGAGAAAATGTAAATTCTTTGCTGCCTTCAACAGAGCTTAAAAATTTCTTGATAAGACAATGTCGATATTTGATTTTAAGGCTTTTAATAACACCTTGTTTCATAGCTATAAATTTGGAAGATAAACATGATGGAAAGAACGCTAACTCAATGGACTTTAGGTTCTTTACCTCTGGATGTGAAGGAAAAGAATCAACAAAAATCACCACTCTTCGTTGCTGGACTTGAAATTTCTCATCGAGCTTCCGCATCCATTGTTCAAATACATCTGAGGTCATCCATGCCATTCTGTTAGCTTCATAACACACAGGCAATGATTTTATACCTTTGAAACAATGTGGATTTCTGTTTTTTCCAATGATAAGCAAAGGAAGTTTCTCTGAGCCATCCATGTTCGCCCCAACCACCAGAGTTATTCTGTCTTTGCATAACTTTCCGATTGAGCATGTTTCTCCTTTAAATGCAAACGTATTTGTAGGTAACATTCGATACAGCAGCCCAGTCTCTTTTATATTAAAAACATTTTTAGGATGATAATCATTTAAATAATAAGGAAGTACATTTTGGTGCCAGACAGTTGAAGGGTCTACTGATACACCTGTAGCTTCTACAGGTTGAGCTCTGAATACTAAACCATACCTGGATTTAAAGCGATCCAGCCAACCATTACTGCACTTAAAATCATTATGTCCCAGTTTCAGGGCAAAATCATTAGCTTTTAGACGCAACATTGGACCATTAACTGGTACATTTAGACACTGAGCAATTCGATACCACCTCATTAATGCTTCTTCCAGATCTGTGTAAAAAGCAGTTCTCAGTCTTTTTCTCTTTGGATCAAATCTCAGAGATTCAAAGGCTTCTAGAACTTTGTCTTTATTCTTCATAATAGAAGACAACGAATTTTTCTTTATTCCATATTCAGCTGCAATTTCTGCCTTTTTCTTGCCGCTTTCTACTGCATTTATGATGTCGATCTTTTCTTCAATGGATAAACTTTTCTTTTTCTTCACTGTTACGGGCAGAGCTGAGGCATCCTCGGAAGCTTCTGCCATCTCCACCAGTGCTTATGTAGAGATTGCTTGTCTTTCTGGTGGCTGTTTCTTTAAATTTCTAAAAACTGATAAGTAAATATATTTTCAAAGGTTCTGAGTAAGAAAAATGTTACACACAGCTAGAATATTTTGGAAGAGAAACTTCCTTCCCAGGACCTATGCGGCTCGGTTTATAGTTTATTCAGCGTTCCAGAAGTCAAGCTAAAATAGAAATCTCATTATGTCAAACCTGTCCAGTCCTGCTGATATATTTTTGGAACTTCAATCCTTTAAGATGATCCATTTTATCCATGCGCACATTCAACCTCCTATTAATTCTCCGCAGAAGGCCTCCGAGATAAGAAGGAAAAGCATTCAGTAATTTTCAAGCAAAATGTTACCCATTAATTTCCAAGTCTCTTCAGGGTGGAGAAGAAAGTGGTAGACTGCTTCTAGGACTTGACGGTATATCTTCTGCCTCTTGAAAATAGAAAAAAAAAAAAGAAAAGAAAAGAAGAGAAAAAAAGAAAGCTGTCTTAGCAATGATGTGTCAATTGAATATCAAAAAGAATATTTATACTAATTAGTTATGTTTTTAATAATAATGAAAAGAACGGGAACATGTTTCTGCAAATGTAATAACCAAAGCTTCCAGGAGAAATGCTTACCTCCTAAAGGGCCTCTGTAAAAAGCCCTCTAGCTCTGCTCTGTGCTTTTGAATTCTCGCTTGCTTTCAAATGCTTTGTAATATATACTTCTGAAATAATTCAGGCAAATTTAATCTGTTTTAAAAATGGGTGCTTACCAAAATTAAAGAACTAAAAATGATGCTGCATAGATCTTTGGTGGCTATTTTTCACATGAAGTCACAACTGCCCCCCTCTGACTTCTCTAAAAGAAAAACACAGTCAGACAGTAGTCACAAGGTTCAACTTTTAATAGCACATGGGAGACAGCATCCCCTTTAGAGGAGTCTGGTAGAAAAGGCTTCACTAAAAATCAAATCAAGCAATTCCATTACAAATTTTAAAAATCAAAATATTATTTTATCTAAATGCTTACAAACCTAGTAACTTTTTTTTTTTTTAAAGATTTTATTTATTTATTTGACAGAGAGACACAGTAAGAGAGGGAACACAAGCAGGGGGAGTGGGAGAGAGAGAAGCAGGCTTCCCGCCAAGCAGGGAGCCCCATGCGGGGCTCGATCCCAGGACCCTGGGATCATGACCTGAGCCGAAGGCAGTCGCTTAACGACTGAGCCACCCAGGTGCCCCAAACCTAGTAACTTTGTATTAATTTGACACATTAGCCAGATGCACAGAGGCCAGAAATAATCGACAAAATGTGTAGGAATAAGCAAATGGTTAAGAGGATATAATGCAGAAAAAGACCTAGACTAGAGTAAGAAGGAAAATGACCATGGCTCTTGACGTCTCAGGACCTCCACTTCCTTATCTGTAAAATAAAGGGCTTATCATACCGTAAGGATCTGGGCTTTGGTGTCAGGCACACCTGAGTTGACAAGTGATTCTGCCATTTAAACTTATGTGATCCTGGGTAGTTTACTTAACCATTTGAAGCTTCAGCTTCCTTATTTGTAAAATAGGTGTAACTACAGCACCTACCCCATAGGGTTATTGCACATTCAAGGAGATTCAACAAGCTAGTGTAAAGCACTCAGCACAGCACTTAGCACCTTACAAAGTGTTCAATGAATGTTTGGTGATGATCTCATCATCATTATCCTCTCTCAAATGGCCCCTTGGCTGTGTTGATCTTTATAATTCGAAGATTTTTCAAAATCCTACTTGCAAACAGAAACCAAGAATCCCACTGAAATATATACTGAAAGCAGAGATTCTTTTAAATCAAACAGTACTGTGAGAACAGGCACACGGACCTAGATGGGCTTGCCCCTATCTTCCCAGGTGGCACGTACCCTACGAGAATCTACAAGCTCGGGGCCTACTGCAGGCCAAAGTAACAAGCTAATTTGATGAAGTGTTACTACTGTGTGAAATAATGTGGGCATGATGTTCCTCAGGTTTTTCGCTCTGTCTTCCCAGGTTTCAAGATGTCATGTGCATTTTTTGCACAAAATTTTGGACAAGACTTTTTGTCAAAATTCCTCTGCCTTTGTTGTCTTTTAAAAAGTAATTTTTATCATAGGAATTACAACTAGTAAAGGATTTTTTTGTTGTTGTCACTGTAAAAAAGTCTTAATAATAATTAGGGCTTTAATTTACAAACACCTTTATTTCCTATATTCCAAACAACTCAGGAGGAAGATAAAACTGAATTTCAAAGCTCATATAGTTATAATGCAGTTGAGTGCAGTCCAGAATCCAGGCTTTCTAATGTAAAGTCTACTATTCTTTTCACTTTATTACAGTGTCTTTGAATCACACTGGTGTGGCCTCCTCTGATAACAGTTAGACACTCTATGTTCCCAGCACCAAGCCAAACCAAGGCAGCATTTTCAATGCCTATCTGAATCTAACAAAAACAAAACAAAACAAAACAAAAAACCCAAACAAAACAAAACAAAACAAACAATATCAAGCCTCTACAGCAAAACAGAAGAATAGGCCTTTATGAATTCCGTGAACACAAATAGCAACCATATCTCACTATTAAGTGGGCTGACCTTCCTAAGTAAATAAGCTTTGACCATTCAACTAAAAAACAAACAAAAAAACCTTGCTCACATATGGGACCTCTCTGCACATTTTTCTGTAATTTCCTATAAATCTACAATTACTTCAAAATAAACAGTTTAAAATTATCTTGCTCTTATTAGGAAGATACCAACCTTCAGAAATTGAGGTAGCAAGAACCAATTTTTTAAGAGAAAACCATGCAAAATTACTCCCTAAGAGAAAAAGGGACTCTCCCAACTTCTCTCTCCCTTCTATCTTCTGTTCTTTCCCTTCTTTTCTTCCTTCCTTCTTTTCCTTCTGCCTTATTTCATCATTTGTCAGAAATAACCCTATCATCTCAAATAACAAGGATTATAGAAAAAGTCACTTGTATTTCCTCCCATATAAAGCAATATAATATACACAGAGATTAGTGATTATCTTGATCAAATTGAAAATAATGATATGTTTATTTAGGAAGATACTAGTTGTTTTCTGCGAGTTAACAGTATATATTTCCTTCTAAAACAGTAGTGAAACCTACAATTTTCCATGGTAACATACAATACATCTTTATTCCCAAAACAACCACATGCCTAACGCCAAACCAGACAAGCCAGACTTTTTCCCTAGAAAAGAACAAGGCACCAATACTGCTTAATCAATGAAGTTAACAGTTTCCATTCTCCTACAGTATAATGTCTCGGATATTTCTTGCAGGGAGTAATGGCAGGAGGTAATATTTCTCAGAAGTACCCATTCTCTCAATTAAGATCATTAATCATTCTACTCCCTGAAAATATTACAGCAGAGAAATATTGTACTACATGTTAAATACTATTTTCTCTATGTCAATGGTAAAGCTAACTAAAGAATAAGAATAGGCAAGTCACTAAAAAAAGACTTACCAATTGAACTCCCAAGAAAACAATAGTCAATTCTACTGGTAACAAGAGAAATGTAAATCTTCTTTCAACACAGGATACCTTTTTGCTTTTTGTTTTTGCCTATCAGAATGGCAGTATCTAGTGTTTGCCAGAATGTCATAACATAGTTTGTGAGGAGGTATATAAATTGGTACAAAGCTTATGAAGGACAAATTAGTAATATGATATAAAAGCCTTAAAAATGTGCATAACTTTTACCCAGCAAGTCCATACCTAGGATTTTTATCCCCAAAGAATAATTATAAATATAAAAATAACCTAGCTTACACATGTCTTCATGATCTATTGCTGCATTTAGTAGCTTAAAACAAATACCCATTTATTATCTCACAGTTCTGCAGGCCAGAAATCCAGGTGAGCTCAAATGGATCCTCTGCTTAGGATCTCACAAGGCAGAAATCGAGATGTTAGTTATCTGGAGGCTCTGGGGAAGAATCTGCTTGCAAGTTCATTCAGGTTATTTGCAGAATTCAACTTCTTGTGGTTGGAGGACCGAGGTCCCTGAGTTTTTTGCTGGCCCATCAGCAGAGATTGCTCTCAGCTCCTGGTTCAGGTCCTTGACTGTGGCCCTTTTCATTTCAGCAATAGAGAACCTTCCTCCTGTCAAACCTCTCTTACGCTTCGCATCTCTCTGCCTTCTCTGCTGCACCAGCAAGAGAAAACTCCTTGCTCTTAAAAGGCTCCTGTAGCAATTTAGGCCCATCCAGATTATCTCCCTTTTGATTGATTTAAAGTCAGCTGGCTACGTCTGCAAAATCCCTTGTGCATGTAATACAACATGATGAGAATGATGTCCTATCATGTTCATATGGGAGGGAATTATACAAAGTGAGAATCATTGGAAGTCATCTTAGAATTTTACCATACAACCGTATTCCCCACATTGTTGTTTTATAATTACAGACCAAACAGGAAAGAACCTAAATGTATAAAAAGGACTAAGTAAATAAATTAAGAAATATATATGCTGAAACACTACTGAGCCACTGAAGGAGAATATTTAATAATATGAAGAAAATTCCATAATATCTTAAGTGAAAAAAGCAAAATGCAAAACTGTATGGCAACAAAACCAACATATACTGTAAGTTACACAGGGGCAGAGGCTCATGGCTATTCCTACAGTGCTTAGTGCCCAGCAAACAGTAGGTTCTAAATAACAATTTCTTAAATAAATGTAGGAAAAGTATATATGCATAGAAAAGAAGACATTGACAAAATGTTGAATGTTAATTCTAGATAAAGGAATTATGAAAAACTTCAGTTTTTTTCTCTTTGTAGTCAGAACAATTTCTACTCTTATATTCCACTCAGACTACTATTCACGGGCTTCTTTAAATGTTCCATTTATCAGTATCCTCTAACAAAGGTTTGTTTCCAGAGAATTACACTGTGCAATCATTAACTAAATATGTCTCCATGAAAAGGGAGGTGATGATGGAGAGTGATAAAATTATTGTGACATTACCAGAATTCCCCTAGAAAAGATTTGAAGGTAGCACCTTTTTCTTTCTCTTGAGGAAATACTATTTATATGCAGCATACAGTATTCAACATCTAAAGTGAAGAAAAAAGGTTGCGTGCACATTTAACTCATTCAGAAAGGAATAATATTCCTTAACCTGTTGCCCCCCTTTGTGGTCAATAAATGAAATATAGGCTGTCAGAGTTCCCACAAGCCAAGTGAATAAATAGCACCCGATTTTTCAAAAGCTGAATAATAGCCAATAACAGTACAAAGACAAATTAGTAGATAATCCCCATGTCATAAACATACAGAGAAGACAACTATTACCTTTTTTCTTACCTCTCCAAACATAGATGCCAATTTAAAGAAAAGAAGTAATCTATTCTTTAAGAGAATGAGCAGGCAGAATTCCCCAAACTCTAGGGCAAAGAAAAAAAGAGAGAGGGAAGAAAGAAAGAAAGAAAGAAAGAAAGAAAGAAAGAAAGAAAGATCCCCATCTAAGCAGGTTTAGCTTTAAAATAAGGTCTTTCTGTCAGCATCAAAAATTTCCCCCAAATCAAAAAAAAAATACCAGCTACTGCTTCCTTTTTCCAAAATAAATTACATAGAATTTCACTGTCTTCCATCACCAGCTGAAGCAGCTTCCAGTGTTTTCTTTGAGCCAACCTACATTCTAATTTCCCTTGGGGCAGCAGAAATCATGGGAAGACTAATCCTGTGTGGAGCCTTGCACTATGTATGAGAACTAATCACGTGCAGTACCAGGATCACACCGGACTGAAGTACCTAACATGATTAACGGCACCTTCACCAAACAGAAATTAGCAGGAGTTCCAAGCAGTTTGGAATCCATCTGAATCTCTATCAAAAACATCACCAGCTGCCAAGGAAACTAACCAGCTAAAGACAAATAATTAAAGCAAGTGTCCACCTTTCCAATTTAAGAAACACTTCTGAGTCTAAAAGTTTAATAGTTAGATTAACTCTAATGAAGCTAAGCATCCCCAAACTCAAGAGACACCTGGCAGGAATCCTTAAGGTGCCAGCCAACTCAAACAGTTAAGTACAGATCATTCAAGCACCACTGAGCACTACCATGCTCCTCTTCCTAATTACCCTTCTGAAACTAAGAATACTTGTACTTAGCTGCTCAGTTCCATTCTGTTCCTATACAACAAGAGCAGTAATTATTCTAGATTGGGATCCTTTTCTTATAACTGAGAAGACTAACAGGATGGCTTTGAACAGAAAAGTCCACAGTAGGCTATAGAACTGAAGTTACAGTTTGAGTGAACTGGCATATACATTTGCTCTTCTCTTTTTGTTAAGGACAAAGCCACTTAAGATGAGGGTCCTTTATACACAGATTCATGTTTTGAGACTTCAGTACTGTTTTTGACAGAGGAAGTGTCCTGGAGATCTCAGCCGATAAATAATGTTACTTACTTTTGAAACTTTTGTGTCCTCAGGGGTTTTTACTATTCACGGATATGGGGAAGATATTTGCACAGGGATATATGATTCAGCATGCTGAAACTCCCTAGAATTTGTAAAGGCAAAGGTCTGTCTTTGGGCACTTAGCCATTAAAAATGTCTCATCAGCTAATATGACAAAGGCAGGTGAGAAGTACAGTCTAAAGAAGAGTAAATCCCACACAATGCACTGTTACCCTTCGCATTTCTCCAAGTGAAATGGCGGTAAAAATGAGCATGCAAGGCTTTCAAAGGAAAAACAGTTCAGAACCTTGATGGGAGATGTATGTGGATGGATCAACTGTAGGTACTGTTTGCAAATGAGCTTCAGGTGTGTCTAGCACCACTGTGCAGCCATACATTCCCTCCATTCAGTGCCGGGGGTAGGGATAGTATCCACAGTACAGGTTGGGGTCTCAACTTAGTAAACTACAAAGGGCTCAGAGAGGATTGTTCAGCGGTTTCTGTAGACAGGGCAATGATCTACCTAAGAAGAAATGGGGCGAGCAAATAAAGCAGAACTCAGTCATCTGGATAAAGAAACAGGAGCAGGAAAGAAAATGTATAAGGGGTCCACCGTCGGCGAGCGAGCAGCGCAGAGAGTGATTACAAACAAGAACTCAGGGATGCCAGGCTTGGAGGTCTGGTCTTCTTGAAGGGGGTGGGCGTGAGTGACGTGGCCGGAGTGGGGCGCTCCAAGAACCGGGGAAGCGAGGGTAAGGCGCCCGCATCCCGTCTGTTCCCTTAACCCCGCATTCCCTCCACCCTCCCACCCCCCGCGGGACCGAAACAACCTTCTACGTGCTCTCCAGCAGCTGAGAAAGCTTTGGTTCTCCTGTGATATGCGTGGCGGCGAGCTACGTCCACCTCCACCCTCCCGGCACCGGCTCACCGTCTGCTGGGGGAAGCCTAACGCGTGAAGCTGGGGTGTATGAGTGAGAAAGAAGGGATGCTGAGGGCTCCAGGAGACCTCCGACCACTCAACACCAGGCCCGCGCGCCCTTCTGCAAGCTCCCGGCTCTGGCAGGTGCATTGGGACCCGGGCGCAGACCCCTCTGTGATCCGGCCGCCGCCAGAAAATTACCCGGGCAACAGCACCCGCGGAGCCCCGGATGTGGTTGCTAGGGCCGCAGCGGGAGGGGCGGGGCCAGCCTCCAGGAGAGGGGCGGAGGAGGCCTCAAGGGAGGCGCGTTGGCACCATCGAGATGTGGCTGGGCCGAGCCAGATTGAGGGAGAGAGAGGCCGTCCAGGGCCAAGGACAACGCTACTTCCGGTCTCCTCACTTCCGGCTCCGCCGCTCTCCGTGTTGGTGCTGCAGGCCGGGTTGAGAGGCTGTCGGTCTGAGTGTCCGCGGCGGTTGGTCAGTGTGAAGCCGTGACAGCTGCAGTTGCTCCCCGCCCCCGAGAATCCGAGGTGCGTGGGGGGAGGGGAAGAAGGAAAAGGCCCAGGTCGCGTTTCCGCTCACTTCGTGCCAGGTTTGAGGCGATTCCAGAGAGCCGCGGCAGGGATAATCCTCGACGTGGGAGCCGCCGAGTTCCCCGCAGACAGGTGAGGGCGGAGCCCGCCCGCAGGGAAGGGAGGGGCAGGCTCGTCCGAGGTAGTTGGTGGGGGCGGACACGTTGCCTCTGGAGCTTGCCGTTCCGGACTTTCACTGGACACTTCTGTCCCTAGGCTGTGCCGTATCTGCCCAAGTGTTCGGCCTTTCGTTTCTGCCCCAACCCCCTGTGTCCGCGAAACAGCCGGTGAAAAGGGAGGACTGGCCCTTGCAAGGCTGCACTCTCTCATCCTCGCATGTGTCGGATAGAAAAAGGGGTGGCAGGATCCAGGTCTTTCTCGACTAAGTCTCGGAGTGGGCCACCTTCAGGTCTGATGTCCAGTGTTTATTTTTCTCCGGCTCTCTCTGCATCCCTTACTTCCTCTCTCCCTCAGCGAGAGGAATGGAGATAGTGATAGTCCCTCCCAGAGGTTCACGGGGCAATCAGTGGTGCAGGTTGGAGCCTTGCCTAAGAAACGTCCCAAGTCTGTGCTTGTGAGGACGGCCAAGGAATGCTGGAGTTTGGGGAGGAAGTCGTGCTGTCGTTTTCTCGTCCGTTCCTTTTTGCCAAGTTAGTGTTTACGTGTCTAGGAAAAGGAAAGAGGTTTTTTTGGTTTTTTTTTTTTTTTTTTTTTTAAGAACAGTTTCTAGACGCTTTTTCTTTTTACTTTATTGCTTCCTTTGTTATGTTTTTATCTCCCTCTTGAACCCTTTGATCTCAAAAAGTTTATAGTTTACACTTCCTACAATCCTTAAGCCATCCCCTTTTAGGATTTCTGTCTCCTCCCTTTGTTTTCTTCTAAAGTACGTAATTTCTCTAACTCGTTTCTTATCTTTGTTTTCCTTGCTCTACACGACCAACACCCTCTCCTGACCACGTCCAACACTCCTTGTCTGAGAAAATAGAAAATATTTCTAATTTTATTATTTGAATGAAAATCTCTGCCTCAGTTACTTTCATTCCTTTTCAAATTAATAAATTAGTTTGCCTTAATCCTGGGTTATGCCTTGGGGTCCATAGTCTAGGAGTCCATAACTTCCAGGGGTCTTCTCATCCCCACCCCTGAAATTATGTTTTGTTTGAGTGCATGGGGAGTTGGGGGAGAATGTCCGTTTACAAAAATCAGATTCTCAGAGGAGATATAAATCCTCCAGAGAGATTAAAAACCATTCCTCAGTGTCTTGTTCAAGTTAATGACAACTTTTTTTTGTGGCATTTTATTTTTACAAACTGTAAATAGCTTGTATTGGGAGAGTAGAAAGCAGAGATTCTAGCTTTATACTGAAATCTCTTATCTACTTCAAAATGTCAGTGTTTCTGAATTCTTTCCTAGACCTTGAGAAGGAAGCAAGACTGCCTACTTATTTAGTTCCTGATTTGTGGTTTTGAGGTTTCTTTTTATGGATAGCTGTTTGTGACCAATGCTGTGGAGATCCAGTGGGTTTACAAATTAATGTGGTTAATTATTATGTAATACATATTAAATACCACCAACCTACTAGGTACAGTTCAGAACAAAAAATTTAAATTTTGGTTGTCCTTTGCTTTCCTTTTCTTGTTTTTCCCTTGAGACTTTGGCTTTGCTAGGAATGGCAAATAAGATAATTTCAGTAGTGTAGTGCTTAAATTTTTGGTATGTTCCTGCTTATCTTGTCATCCCCTTTCCTTCTCTATATTAGGTATTTTAATGATTGTTCTTTCATGTGAATAGGTTAGTATCCCTCCAAACTTAATGTGAGTTTAGAGTGTGTACTTGAACTTACTGATTTGGTTGGGAAGTGTTTATTGGTTGAGGGTTGAAGTTCTAAACGTTTGCCTCTTGTTTCGTAGAATGTTAGAACTTGAAGAGACCTATACAGCTTATCATAGTTTGTGTAGAGTAACCAGATTCTTCTGCTCACAAAATTATTTTCTGAAGTCTTTCATCACTTGGAGGAGCAGAAAACATAATTTTATAAAGAGTAGATTATGCTGAATTAGTTTCTTTCTAAGCTGATGACAAAGTCAGCAGATAGGTTATATCTGACACTAAACAATTAACATTTGTTTGCTTACTTTGTGCCAGGCATTATGTTAAATGTTTTACGTGACTATCTCATCTAATCCTCACGGCAACTTTATAAGATGGCTAAAATCTCCATTTTTATAGATGAAGAAACTAAAACTAAGTGATTAACTGAAGCCAAAGTAATCTGCCCAGAAGCACACTGGTGGAGCCAGGATTGAACTTAGGTTGTTTGACTCCAGACTCGAGCTCTTAACTACTACTCTAAACTGCTTCTACCATATTTCCTTTACATCATTTTTGGCATGACTTGGGGGTATCTCACCTTATTCCTATCAGCTGTTAAGAAAAGAAGATCTTTTCCCTTATTAATCTTCAGTAGATGAACACCTTTTTGAATGTCATACCTAAAAGTATGACACAAAGAAATGAACTTGGCGAAAGCCTATGGAGTGTTTATTTGATAGAGTTTTCCCATGGGGATGGATATAAATCTGTGTGTATATAGAGTGTGTGGGTTTATTATGACGTGAGGAGTGGAAAGTGAGAAAAAGGTTTTAAGTAATAAACTTGGCTTTGTAAGAGTCTGGAGGTATAAATACATCCAAGAATGATAGATTTGGGATGGAGTAAGGAATAAACTCAGGATGAAGGAAGGAATAAATTCAACAGGGAATTTTTTTTTTAAGATTCATTTGTTTATTTTGGGAGAGAGAGAGAATGGGAGGGAGGAGCAGAGGGAGAGGGAGAGAGAATCCCAAGCCGACTCCATGCTCATTGTGGAGTCCGACTCGGGGCTCCATCTCATGACGCTGATATCACCACTGGAGTTGAAACCAAGAGTCAGATGTTTAACTGACTGAGCCACCCAAGCACCCCTCCACAGGGAATTTAAGCTAATATGGCTATGGATGAAAAAACTATCAATATATGTACAGACTGGAAAGACCTGTTCCACGTAATATGAAAGATGATGACTTAGGAACCATGACAGTCTGAAAGTCAGATATGTACCAGCATTAGTTCTAGGATGTGTGAAAAACACTATAAAACAAGAGAATCTGAAAATAATCTTGTTATCTTTGGTCTACTAGCTTTAGGCAGCCATGGAAGCCACTGAATAGCTCTTGCAGATTCTCAGCTATTGTCTATAAAAGTATATCTTTTCTTTTTCCCTTTCCTTTATTCCTTTTCTCTTTCTTCTTCTGTCTCTTATTCTTCTCTTCATGATTTCTAAACCTTTATCTTAGGGTGTTGCGGGAAATAGCTCAGATCTTTTGTGAAAATATGGCAGTATCTTTGCCATATTCTCATCTAAGAGTTTTTATTTTGTTTTATTTTTGTATATCTGTGATAGCATTGGACTAATAGCTCCTTGATGTTCAGGCTTGATCTTTGACCTTTTAGGGAACTGTGATGCAGTTTTTGAAGCAGGATCATAAGAACCGTGGAGTTGGTGATGAGGCCTAAATATCCAGAGGAGTCAGTTGGCCAACTCCGGTTTCTGCTAGCATGAGATAGTATTTTAGAACAAGGTTTTCAGACTTTTCTGCATCATGGCGGAAATGATTTACTTGTATGGCAGACTATATAGCCTGGCTCTCCCTGGCTCCCTGAAGTCCGAAAGAGGGGTCAATATTTCAGCACATCTATAATTCATTCTTGGCACACTGGTGCCAAGTATGATTTGCCTTGGAGAAGAGGAATATGTTACTTTAATACCTTCTGTTTATTTAGTATATAATAATTTACAAAGCACTTTCATACTTTATTTTACTCCAGTTTTTTCCATACTCCATTTTACTCTTAGTTTTACTCCAGCCATATCAAGTAGGTGGAGCAAATATTACCATGTTAGAAATGAAAAAATTGAGATTTTAGATAAAGTGCTTTGTATAAGGTCACACATGTAATAAGGGGTGGATCAGGAATTCAAATCCCACGTGGAAAGAGTCCCTGGGAGTTAAGTCAGTGGCATGTAACCTCCAGGATGGCCAGGACCCTATCTGTTTTGTTTAAGTGCTACTTTCAAGGCATCAAGGGCAGGGCTAGGTACATGGAAGTCCATAATAGTTGTCAGTTATTAAGTGCTACTCTGGCTAGGCATTATGCTTTGTAGATGCTATATTAGGTATATTAGATATTAGGTTTGCTTTGTAGATGCTATATTAGGTATATTAGATAAGAATAGTTATTCTTATTTTCTATTAACATGAAGAAACAGGTATATAAACCAGCAGAAGTAATTAGTCCAAGGTCACCCAAGCTGTAAAGGAGAACCACAGACTAATAACCAAAGTTGCTTGCTCCAAAGCTTGTACTCTTTTCACTATAGTGACTGAATGATTTCATGACATTGTAGGGTAGAGATTGGGTTCCATTTAAAGTGTGTGACATTGGGGGCAAAGGGTGATGGTGGTAAAGGGAGCTAGCCAAGTGGACTATTAGGTGTTTATTTTTGGCAGTTTTGAGGTTGAGTTCTAGAGATGGTGGCTGTCTTTTTTAAAAGATTTCCAAATTGTTTTGAGATGGGGGTGGGGTAGAAGAGTAGTGTGATACAACTCAGTGACTTGGACCATTGGTGCTATAGGTGCTCCTAACAAAAGTGTTAAAAAAATACAGATCCTCTTCATATATGACTTAATACTAATTATAGATTATTTCTTAAAGGTAGGTTTACAGATTATTT